ATTAATTTAAAAGGATTCGGGACTATATTGGATTGGGGAGTTTTTAATCAAAGTTATAATCTGGCCAGATCCGACTGGATTTAAAATCTCAAAATTTATAAATTCATCCCCACTATAAAAGTTTGAATCTGGACCGTCTCATTAACTCAGGTCCAGAGCGAGAAATGTTCTAATTATTATTCCTAAACAACAGTTACACTGCGGATAATACAATATATTGATACGCTTGGAATGAGATCAATTTCGAAGCAAATTGAATATCACTTTAGTGCTAGCTAGAGTTGTTAAACAAATCTACTAGCTTGCGAGCCAAGCTCGACTCGCCTCGTTTATAGAGATAAACGAGCCTCTATAAACGAGCCGAGCTCGAGCTCAAAAATTATCTTTTCTACAAACAAGTCGAGCTCGTGAGTAGCTCATTTGAGTTCGTTAGTGATAATATATTTATATATTAATATAATATATATACTTTTTTATATCAAAATTTATATTTATTATAAAAAATTATGAATAAAATTAAATATATTTAATTTATATATTAAAAAATATACATAATATGCATACAATTCAAATCGAGCTCGAACTCGAGCTCGAGTTCGAGCTTTACGAGCCGAGCTCGAGCTTGAATTTGAGTCTGACGAGCCGAGTTCGAGGCACTATTTTGGCTCGAATTCTTAACGAGCCGAGCCTATACCGTTAACAAGTTCGAGTCAAACTCGAACAACTAATACTCGAGCTCACTGGACTCGTTTAACAACTCTAGTGCTAGCTGACAATGTTTATTATGTGTTTTTAATTTAAAGTATTTCTTATGTTAGATATAAAAAATTTATCGATAATAATATCTTATATTAAGTTATTAAATTTTTAAGAGATAGAATACATACATTATAAATTTTGTATATATATAGTATATATTTTATAATAATATTAATAATTGTGAAACAACATATATATGTAATATATAAATTATAAAATATTTATTATATTGGTAAATAATATATTATATTAGAAATGATATTCTTATATTAAGGCCGAAGGAAATATAATAATTATAGCATAAATATATTATTAATATACGTTGCCTAATAATTTCACATCCAAAGACCAACGCCGCCGCTCTGCCGCTCACCAATTTCTTCCTCCTCTTCTTTCTCTTCATTCTTTCGTTTTTTTTCCCTCATTCTTTTCTTTCTCCTTTTCTTCATTACCTTCCTCCTCCTGCTGATCGCTCGGACAAGGTGACGGTAAGGTTCCAGTATATTTCTCTTTTTCCAGAGAATAAAAAATGAATCGGCGTTCGAACAGACGGTCACGTTTAGAGAATGAAGGAATGGCGGTTCCGATTTGAACCGGAATTGCTGGTAAGAAACCGTCGAACCGGAGGTTCGAGTTCTCTGGTTCGAACCGCCGGTCCGGAGCACCCCCTTTACATTTCTTGAGAGAAACGAAATCGCAGTATTTAGATCGATAACAGGGGAAGCGAGCGGGAGTGCTTTCGAATAATAACTATTCCAATTTTGTAGGGATGAATGTAAGCTTGATTCTTTTTTGGGGTTTTAGAGGTTGTAGGATGGTTTGAGTTTTTCATTTTATGTATTGTTTTCATTTTAATCCTGGTTTCTTTCGAATGATTGCAGATGGTGGATTCAGGTCTTGCGGTGAACAATTTGCTGCTTGGCTCTGAAGGGGATTTTCAAAAAACACTGTATGCTTTCACTTTTTTTTTTTTTTTTTTTTTTTTTGTTTTGAAAGTATTTGCTTGCATAATTTGTGATTGAGTTGGATTTGTTGCATAGGTATCCATACGTGACTGGGACGTTAGTTGTAGGCATAAAGTACAAGGATGGAATTCTCTTGGCTGCCGACATGGTAGGTTAGATGTTGATATCTTCGCTTAAGTTGATGTAAATGTGTTGGTAGAATGTGTTTAAGTTAATGAGAAACTGAATGATTACCCTCAGGAAATCTTTTGCATGGGTTTGAATAAGTTATCAGTAAGTTATTGTCTTAGCATTATCTCTAATTGTTTATAACTTGTGCATTGATTGTTTTGAGTGACAATCTTCTGGTGAGATGGATTTTATTATCTTTTGATCGGGTATATATTTCAAGCACTCATACTGATTTTGTTTTATTCTTTTTTAAATCGATGGATGGTTTCTGTAGTTCAAATTGAAGGTGGAGCTTTGTTATTACGAAAAAAATTTGCCCCGGGGAACTGATTTGTGCGTATTATTAGTTTATGAAGTGCATAAAATGATATTTGTGGTGATGTTCTTACTGATATGAGCTATTTATCAAATAATATGAGCCTTTTTTGTGAGTGTGTCTGTGTGGTTATGGCTGTGTTCATAATATTTTTCCTGTATAGGTTCTTATGGAACTACGCTTCGTTACAAAACTGTGGAGCGATTGAAGCCAGTGGGAAAGCATTCAATTATTGGTGCGAGTGGTGAGATCAGTGATTCTCAAGAGATAATGGAACTATCTTGAAGAACTCATGTATGTCTTTTCATCATTTCACTTGAAGTAAACATAGAAATGCGTCATGATCTTGTCATGGTTGCATATTTTGGGATTGTCGACAATAATTCTTTCATTTACTTAACTTCTATTTGTACTTGTAGCTTGTTTGATAGCATGTGGGATGATGGAAACTCCTTTGGTCCTAAAGAGGTGCATAATTATCTAACCCGGGTTATGTACAATCGCCGTAATAAGTTCAACCCATTGTGGAACTCTCTTGTTCTTGGTGGAGTTAAGAATGGAGAAAAGTACCTTGGAACGGTATAACACTTTTTAATCATTTGTTCATAATAACTTGTTCAAGTTATATAAGATGCATTGCCTAATTTCTTATATCCAACCCCTGCTGCTCTTTGTTCTATGATTTAGGTCAGTATGATCGGCGTGCACTACGAGGACAACCATGTTGCGACTGGATTTGGAAATCACCTTGCAAGGCCAATCCTGCGGGATGAGTAGCATGAGAATCTAAGTTTCGAAGAAGGTGTGAAATTACTGGAGAAATGCATGCGAGTGCTCCTGTATCGCAATCGATCAGCTGTCAACAAACTTCAGGTCTGTTTCATTCTTGTCCGAGGCTTCCAAAGAAACCCTTTGAAGTTTTTTTCGATCCTACCCTTTTAAAAATATTGTTCAACTTTCATCACTTGCAGATTTTATTTTATCTTTTTTGAAAACCATCTTAGGATTTCTGTTAAGTTGCGTTATAATTGTTGGTACAAGCTGAAATTAGGTCGCGGATTATTTATTTTGCATCTCTTAAAAGCAATTGTTTAACTTTAAACGGGTGCTGTGAATTTGCAGATTGCAAAAATCACCGCGGAGGGTGTCGCAATCTCCCCACCGTACTCGTTGAAAACGTTTTGGAACTTTGCTGCTCTCGAAAACCCGACGGCAGGTGCAGCCGGGTCATGGTAGTCGAATACTTTATGCAGTCAGAAGCGAGTTTATGTGTATAGGTTGAGCGAATGAATGGCTATGAAGCTTCTCACTGTCACTGGTTATTGACATTGTTGTGGTATGTGGAGGAACTCAATGCGTATTAATTTTATTTTTTTTTATCGGATTATCATTTGCCACAGGTGGTTTGCATTTTTTTTTTCTTTTTTATAACATGAAAATCCACAGAACGGCGCTGTTAATTTTTTGTCGAACCTAATACTCTGCAATTCTAGTTAGTTGTGGTTGATATATGAATTACAAAACCTTAAGAATGCAGAAATTTTGTTGGTACCGAGCTTTTATATTGTTAAGACGGGGATTCGGGGTTCCAACTTAAAACCAATTGATTGTAAGTGGAGTAGCCCTTCACCCCTTATAAGGTAGGAGAATCCTAACATTATATCCAACGTGGATACTTAACATATATATTATAGAATCTATTATAATGATTTTATTTTATTATTATTATTATTATTATTATTATTATTATTATATTATGGCTATCATTCCCATATTCAAGTTATTTTTTTAACAACCGTCAGTAGTGTCATTATCTCTCCAACCAATTTACCTTTGCTATTTTATAAATTTTATTAAATTCATTAAAATTTAAATTTTATATTTAGTTTTTTTTAATATATATATATATATTAAAAATCGATTTTTAAAAAAGGTAATGTGCGAGTGATAACGTGAGTGTGTTTTTTTTTTTTTTTTTATTTGAAAAAACTTGGATAAAAGTACAAAGTCGGTATTTTGTAATAAAAGCAATGGGTATTAATTATAGTTACAAATGAAAAAGGTAATAATAAAAATAATGAAGAAGATAATATAATAATAATAATAATAATAACAATAATAATAATGATAATAATCACTTACCATTGCCAATAAATCTCGCCTTATTTTAACAAGTTATAAATAAATAGAATTTATTAGCTTGAATACAGGTTGAGCATCACCATCATAATATAGTAATAAAATTATATAGCATTGACAATTGAATTTCTTAAATATGTTTTCAACTTACTAAAATTTTAAATGTATCACCTCAAATGTTTTTCTTTGTATATTTTTACACAATAGTAAATTAAACAAAATACTACAGTAATATTTTAAACTGACAATTTTGGGAGTTCAAATTATGGTCAAATTGTTTAGACATTGCTTGAATCCTCCTGTGTAATTCACAATTTTTAAAATTAGATTACTAATTACAATTTACGTTACAAATTATGTAAATAAACGTAAGAGAATAGAATTAATAAAATTGTTATAGAAATCTAAAGTGTATTTCGATATTGCAGACAGAAATTACGATGTTCAGAGAAGCCAACGTCGTATTACACATCCAATACCAAAACACAGCCACCACCAGTCACGTGCCGACGTGCGTGCATGCATGCAAAACCCAGCCACAATAATAATTACTGCTATTTCTAAAAAAATTAAATATATATATATAAATATAATAACTAATATTAATATTAAAATTACTCCGTCGATCGATTTTTCCGGCGACGGAAAACTCAGGCCGCCGACGCACTGGGATCTTCGCCGTCGCCGTCGTCGTCGTCGTCGTCTGGCGGTGGAGGATTGTTCAGATCCGGAATCTGGAAGCTTCCAGAACCTTCACCTCTTTCCCTACGGCTACTACCCTCTCCTCCGGCTTGAGCCGGTTGCTCTTCGGCTCCCCTGCTCTGCGCCGCCGATCCCTCGCCGGCGCCGATCATGCCGCGGAGGTCTGCAAATTCTTCCTCCGCCCGGAACACCGGCGGCGGGTGGGCCCCCTTCCAGCCCCTGTCAGGGTGAGACCGCATGTGTCCGAACAAGGCCTTGTCGGAATTAAACCGCCTGTTGCACACGCTGCAGTGAACTCCGCCGCCCTCTCTCGCCGGAGCTGCCGCACCCGCGGCGGCGCTGGATCCCGCTCCGGCGCCGGCTCCGGCCCCTACCCGCGCTCTCTTAGCGCCGAGAATCCTCCCTGTAGCACTCAGATCACTCCTGCCACCGCCACCACCGCCGTCGCCGCCGACGGGGACAGCCTGCGCTCCGGTGGGCGCCTGGAACGCCGCCGATCCGAGGACAGATTGGTAATCGCCTCTGGATCCAGTCGCCGACGACGGTCCCGGACCATGGCTGGATCCCGGCCGGACGTTGTAGTTGGAGAAGGCCGACACGCCGGGGACACCCATAACCACCGGGTGCCGCGGAGGCGTGAACTTTGGCTGTGGCCGTGGCCTGGACGGCTGCGGCGGGGCTGAACCCGGTCCGCGGCCTCTTGCTCTCCCCCTGGCCGGGCTGGCAGGGGGCGTGACCGAACTCGCACGCCGACCCGCCCCGGATGGCCTCGCCGGCGCTGGATTAGATTGCGGCGGCGGTGGAGGCGGCGGCGGCGGCGGGGAAGGAGAGCCTTGGTCGGACATATTGTATTTTATGAGGAAATAAAATAAGATCGACGAGATAATATATGTCCGCCTGAAGAAATTCGATTGCAGCAGAAAGGGCCTGTAAATATAGATACACGTGTATATATATATATATATGTATATGTGTGTGTGTACGGACGGATGAAAGCAACCTGAAAAGGGATGTAATGTTTCATGGAAGGTGGCGACATTCAAAAAATTTTAAAAATAAATTAGTAATATGAATAATTGCAATTTCGTATTTATAATTATATTTCAAATTGTAAAATTATTTGCTAATAATCGTGTCTCTTGATAAAACTAAAACTGCTCTATACACCTTTTTGGATCAATGCAATACATTATGCAATATACCATACTTCAAAATTTTATTAAATTAATTTATTAAAATTAGGTGCAATTTATTTTTATTACTATTATTATCTTTATGTACCTGCCACATGCGCATACTGTTCATAATTTAAGCAGTGTGAACTGTGAAGAGTATGCCATATTATATATATATAAAAAAAAAAAATTAGGGAAAAGGTTATAGATTTTTCTCTAAATATATATATATATATATTTAAAAAAATATTATGTATATCTGAAAAGGTATATAATTTAAAATGTGTGTAATAAGTTTAAGCATCATTTATATCCAATTATAACTAATACAGCTCTCTTACTACAATATATATATATATATATATATATAAAATAAAATATTCCTATATATGTGATATATATTGATAAATATTTCACACACATATACATATTTATTTTATATACATAATCTACCTTTATCTTATAAAAAAATGTATATAAATCATATATAAGAAAGATTTTTATTCATTTCAATATAACATCAATATGATTTTAATAGAAGATAATATTAGTTTACCGGTTATGTTATATGAAATTAGTAAATATTTATATAGAATCCGATGTATATTTTAATTTCTATATTTTCAAAATAAAATTTAATGTTAGTTCAATAGATTTTGTATACGATAAATTATTAAAGGGTAATCTTGTGCTGATTTTTTTTTGTAATAATATCATGGTGATGACATATTGTAAATCATGCTCTATTTTCTTCAAAATTCGAATTTTAATATATAATTAAGATGATTTGGGAGGAGGAAGAATGTATCGTAACGGATTACAAAATCTAGACATTATAGTATTGGATAACATTTATAATAGAGTCGCTACAATAGTTAAGTTCTTAATCGCTACGAAGTTACATTAATTAAAGCCAAGAATCGATGTTTTACTAATGTCGAACCTATCAAATGAAACAAAACCGATCTTAAACTTTATATCCAAATTTACTAAGAATTTGGCACGTGTCGTTTGGGATTTTAGATTTAGATTTAGATTTAATTTAAACCGCTATTTGATTTAATTTTTTATAAAATAAAATAATTAATATATTTTTTTATTGATAAATATAAAGACTAAATAGTAAAATACATGAAAAACACCCAATAAAAAAGGAATCTAATGTTAGCAAATATATTTTTCTTGGATTTTTAAATATTTTCATATAATTATAAGTTCAAATAGAGTAATAATTATGTAATTAATGGAATATAAAATAATAGTAAGTAAATTTAAGATGGAAACATTTTGTTGTTATATATTATAAAATTCCATAAATAATTCAAAAAATGATTTTTTGAAGTAATGTTCAAAATAAAATGAAATAGCTTACTAAAAAATTATTTCATTAAAAGAAATAGTAAAGTATCTTCTTAGCATTAATCTGTAATTATAAAATCTTACTCATCTTATTATAAAAATGTATATAAATCATATATAGATAACATTTTTATTCATTTTTTCATCATGACATCAACATTGTTTAATAGAAGATAATATTGGTTTTAAGGTTATGTTATATGAAAATTAGTAAATATATATATATATATATGTAGCATCCGAATATTTTAATTTCTATATTTTAAAATAAAATTTATTGTTAGTTCAATAGATTTTGTATACGAAAAATTAGGGTAATCCTATGCTGATTTTTTTTTTTAATAGTATCGTGCTGATAAAATATTATAAGTTATGTTCTATATTCGTCAAAATTCGAATCTTAATATATACTTAATATGATTTGGGAGGAGGAAGAATCGTATAGTAATGGATTACAAAATCTATACATTATATTAAATAACATTTATAATAGAGTCGGTATTACCGTAGTTAAGTCATTAATCGCTATAAACTTACATTAATTAAAGCCAAGAATCGATGCTTTTTACTAATTTCGAACCTATCACATGAAACAAAGCCAGTGTTAAACTTTATCCAAAATTTACTAAGAATTAGGTATGTTTCGTTCGGAATTTTAGATTTAGATTTTAGTTTAAACCGATATTTGATTTGATCTTTTGTAATAATATAAAATAATATATTTTTTATAGATAAATATGAAGACTAAATAGTAAAATACATGAAAAACTCCGAAAAGAAACCAATCTAATGTCGTAAATTTATTTACTTGGATTTTAAAATATTTTCATATAATTATAAGTTCAAATAAAGTAATATTATGTAATTAATGGCATATATATATAAAAAAAAAAAGTAAGTAAATTTAAAATGGAGACATGTGTTAATGTTATATATTATGAAACTCCATAAATAATTCAAATTGATTTTTTTTGAAGTAATGTTCAAAATAAAATGAAATAGCTTACTAATTATTATTATTATTATTTTTTCATTTTATTTAAAAGAAAAGGTAAATTAACTTCATAGCATTTGTAATTATAATTTAAGTATACTTACGAAATATTTAGTCATAGGTAAAGTTTATTATATAAAGTACAATAGTAATTGTTTGAAATCTCAAAATAAAATACACACTCGTCCCGTAAGGGATGGTCTGGTGGTATAGGGGTTGGATTTGTGACAGTATAAAAAGTACTTACAAATTACAATTAAAATGTATATATATTTATTAAATTTTATGCTAAAATAATTGAGTATCTTACAATGGGATTGGAGAAACTAGGTAACTTAATTATGAGTTAAATTGCCTCAATATTTTAATTACTTTATTCTTTTAAGTCATTTAAAAAATAAAAAAATTACTTTCATTCTCAATTTAATATGTCGTTTTTTTTCCAGTAAATTAAATAATAATAATACTCTACTTGTTTGGGATAATTATGTTATATATATATTTTTTTGTTTCTGTTAAACTTATGCATAATTCAGTTATAAAAAATAATTTTATTCCCTCACAATTTTATTCTCTATTTTGATCAATAATAATCAATTTGACGCTTTATTTTATTAAAAACCGAAATGATATTTTAATATTATAAGTCAACAAAGTATATTACAATTTATTTTATTTTTATGATATGGGAACCATCCGTAGCTACTTTTCAAGTGCGCTTTGTGTATATTTTCGGTCGAATCTAATACCCTGCAAATTAGATCCGATAAGACAAATCATACTAGATGAATTATATGTGACAGACCATATGTAATTTTTTTTTATAAAAGCACATAGATGCATATGTAAGTCATAAAATTTAATATGAGTAAACATGAACGTGTTGATATACAAATAAACATTTATCCATTTCTCTTTATTTATTTAACATCTCGGTTTTATCAAAATACTCTTATACACACGTGTAAATATTGTTGACTTCAAATTCGCTCAAAACCAAATAACACTAGCAATATAAAACAACACAAATAGAGACACAAGCTGATTTATACATGAGACATCAAACAATATGCCAACTCTGTAAACAAACAAAATAAATTACAAAATAAAATACAAAATATTGATTAACCAATCCGGTCACGCATGACCTACATCTGGAGGGTTCTAAGCGAAACATGTCTCAACTCAACTTAGAAATCTCTACTCAACCTCGTAAGATTTCCTAGTCTAGACCCTCTCAATTCACAACCTAGAACTATCCTCAGCTTTAGAATATTCTGTGTCAACTTTCAATAATGTCTCCATAAGAGGACTATTAGAATTTGTTCAATTAAATTCATTGTATTTGCTCTAAGAAAAATGTTTTTTTTATCATAAAAGTAAATATGCCAAATCACAGGTCACAATGGGTTACACATTGGCTCCCCTGTAACAAGGTTTCGATAGCTACTATTTCTTGTTTCCATCCTTAAATAAATAAATAGTAATAATAATCATCATCATAAAAAGAAAAAGGATGTCTGAAAATTATTAATATAAAGCTGCGATGATACCGTTGGAGTTGGGGATGATGATTGAAGAGTGAAGGCTGATTGTTGGGAAAGAAGAAGGGCAAGAAGAACACCATTTTTGGTCAGATTACTGAAGAAGGAAGGAAGGAAGGAAGAGTCAGCACATGACATGGCAATGGTGGAAGCCGAAGCTGAAGCTGAAGCTGAGTAGACCAGACCGGACCAGACTAAAAAGAAGGATTGAAGGAGTCTTCCCTTCGAAGCCACATCGCATCATCCAATCCCCAACCTCCACGATTTCTGGTTTCTTTATTTCCTGCAGCTTGCTTTTATTCCGAATTGCGATTGGGGCCAGATTTGATTGGGTGGTTCGTCGATCTCCGTTTCTGATTGATCGATCATCCACTGGATTTGAGCTTTGAATCCTTGCGAGGTAAGGGAAGGCTAGGGTTTAATCGTCATGTCTTGCTCCCCTTCTTCGTCGTCGGGATCGGAGGAGGAGGATGAGGGGATTGTTTCCTACCGGAAAGGAGGCTACCACGCCGTCCGAATCGGCGATTCCTTCGCCGCCGGTCGGTACATCGCCCAGCACAAGCTCGGCTGGGGGCAGTTCTCCACCGTCTGGCTCGCTTACGACACGCAAACATCGGTAAGGATTCCCTTTCTTATTTAACCCTAAACCCTGCTTAGGTTTTGGCTTTTTTACAAGTTTCTTCTGTGGTTTGACTCAATTGATGTTACTTCTAGAACGGAAATGGAATCGATCATGTCGTTACTTGGAATCTCAGACCTTGAATTTCGTATTTGCTTACTTTCTGCCATAGCTTTGTTGTCCTCTAATGGCGTCTTTTCTGCAAATTTGTCTTATTTGTTGCTGTTGCAGACTTAGAAGCATGAGAGAATTTTGGAATTGGATTGAATCTTGATCTCCTGCTGCAAATTTTCTATAGAATGAAACAGCACCACAATTACAATTACAATTACAATTACTTAAAGATATTTAGTTGAACTAGATCTTGCAATTAGAATCATCCCCTGCAAACTCGAATTATTTCCAAGTTTTAATCATATTCGAACAATGTGCTAGCAGTATTGTTGTTTTTCGATGTAGTTAAGTTCCATTTTCGATGTTTCATTCTTCTGAAGCTTTTCTTGTTTGTGATATGTAGAAATATGTAGCCTTGAAGATTCAAAAAAGTGCGCCGCAATTTGCTCAAGCCGCACTTCATGAAATCGAGATACTTTCTGCTATCGCCAGCGGCGATCCTTCAAACACGAAGTCCATTGTTCGATTGGTAGACCACTTTAAGCATGGGGGCCCAAACGGGCAGCATTTATGCATGGTCCTGGAATTTCTTGGCGATAGTTTGCTCCGTCTGATCAAGTTCAACCGATATAAAGGTCTCGAATTGGACAGAGTTAGGGAGATTTGCAGATACATTTTGACGGCATTAGATTACTTACACTGTAAACTAGGACTTATACACACTGACCTGAAACCCGAAAACATTCTTCTATGTTCCACCATTAATCCTTCGAAGGATCCTGTCAGATCCGGAATGGCCCCCATTCTTGAAAGGCCCGAGGGAAACCTGAATGGTGGAGTGACTATGAAACTCGAGAAGAAACTGAAACAGAGGGCGAGAAGAGCAGTTGCAAGGATATCAGAAAGGCGAGCTTCTGTGGGAGGGGTAGGTGTGCCTCCCAAGCCTGTGCGGTGTTTGGATGGGATCGACTTGCGATGTAAGGTTGTGGATTTTGGAAATGCCTGTTGGGCTGATCGACCGATAGCTGAAGAAATTCAGACCAGACAGTACAGGGCTCCCGAGGTTATACTTCAATCGGGTTATTCTTTCCCCGCTGATATGTGGTCATTTGCTTGTATTGCGTTTGAACTCGCCACGGGTGAGATGCTGTTTACTCCCAAGACCGGACAAGTCTTCAGTGAGGATGAGGTACCAATCTCTATCCATTTCGTTTTTCTTTCAATGCCGCAATTTGAAGCTAAATTGTTATATCAAAAATCTTACAGTGGACAAAAGCTTTTATTGCGACAAATTTTGAAATTATTTACGGTGTTCGAGGTATATGATGAAATACTCTGTTATTAAGAAGTTTTAGGTCTTATGAAGGATGCCGGGAACTGCTTAAGGTTATACTGTTTGCGACTTTAGCCTATTCTTGGATATGATTCATAATCTCTTATTCTGATCGGTTTCAGTTGCCATCTTTCTGTATAATCCCGATTTTTTAATGTAGTGATGTGTTATTTGTGGGGTTAAGACATTTGAGCTTCGCGGAATCTCCATATTGCTCGAACTTTGCTAGTGAACTATGCTATATGAGACAAAGGTAGTTTGACGAATGCTTAAAACTTGTTGTTTAGCCGAGTAAGGTCAATGCAAAATAGTAAACAAGCGTCGATAAGAAGTTTGATGGTTGATATTGCGATACACTTACCTGATTCTATTGTTATATACAAAATGTTGTACTTGATTTCTAGCTCCAGCCACAAATATAGTCGACAAGTTCAGTTCGGATTAACTTCAAATAGTTTTGCTTGATTTTGATTTTTTCTTTTATTTTTTTGCAGGATCACCTTGCATTGATGATGGAGCTCCTAGGAAAGATGCCAAGGAAGGTAACCTGCTCTGCTCGTTTCTCTACATTACCTTCGAACGTAACTCTCTGCGAATTTACTATCGATCTTCATGCTTGAATAAAAGGTTGCGACTGGCGGGGCAAGATCGAAGGACTATTTCGACAGATACGGGGACTTGAAGAGGATTCGAAGGCTTAAATACAGGACACTTGATCGACTCCTTGTTGACAAATATAAATTTTCGGAGCAGGATGCCCGGGATTTTGCAGATTTTGTTTGTCCCATTCTTGATTTCGAGCCGGAGAAGCGACCATCTGCTCAGCAGTGCTTGCAGCATCTGTGGCTTAATCCGACGCATAGCGAGGCCAAAAACAAGTCATGCATCGACAAGTGACACGAGAGTACACGACGACTCCCGGCCCGCCCCCTCGCCGGAGCTTTTTCTGCGACGTTTCTGAAACAATGGTAGATGTTATTAACACAATGAAGTGATATGTGTAGATTGAAAGGAGTGGACGAGAGCATACATCTTTGAAGACTGTGAATGAATTAGTGTTTGTATTTGTTGATTTAAGTTGTTAACTACATACATGAGCTTTGTTTACCTTCCTATTTTCATTTTTTTATTGGGTAAGTAATTGGAACCTGTCGCAGTACAAAAATTTTGCAATTTTAATTATCCGATGTCTGGAAATGCTTACAAGTCTTCCGGATCCTGGATTTTTTTTTGTAATTTTTAATTGTAAAATTTTCTTTTGTATTTTTTAAATTATTTTTTAAAAGACAATAAATAAATTAATTGTTTTAAAGAAAAATTAATGTATCCGACAAATATAGTTGATTTGGCGGACCATGTGTCACTGAACGAGCTACGCAAATAGCAAGTCGACATCACTGGGGATTAAAAGTGCAAAAATATTTTACAGACTTCAGTTGCAATGAAAATAATAAAATATCAAATTAGAGGACTAAAGACTAAAAAAAATCTATTTATTTATTTATTTTTTAATACTTTTCAATTTTATATAAACAGTAACATTTATTTTTATTTTTTCACGTAAGTTTTTTAATATTAATGAGTTAAAAAAAAATTAGTATTATTTGTGTAATATATTATAACAAATTATAAATTAAAAGATATTTATTACATTAGTGATGCAGTACAATTACCAGAAAATATTATCCTTTGTTTTGGACAGTCGAAAATGTGAGAAACGGAGGAAGTATTTTAATACTCATTCCGTCCTAAATACCATGTTGACGTTGCCGTTTGCCATGTCTATATTGCCGTTTTTGTTCGTCCCATGTACCATGTCACTTTTTTTTTTTTTGTTGGAAAATAATTATGCACTAATTAGTTATATAATTATTTTCACTAATACATTTTTAATTATCTGCTAAAAAGAGTAAAGGGGACAGAGGAGTATTATTTATTGCCAAAAAATAAACTATTGGATAAGGGTTTTGAAACCACACACAGAATAAGACCTGAATTCTGCTCACTCAGAAAAATTTCATCAAATCACTCTCCAACAATGGCGAAGAACGACGACGGCAGCCCCGTCCGGTTCGGGATCATGGGATGCGCCGTAATAGCCAGAAAATTGGCGGCCGCCATAGCCGTAGCCCCCAGCGCAGCGCTCGTCGCCGTCGCCAGCCGCTCAATCGACAAGGCACAGCAGTTCGCCGTCCGGAACAACCTCTCGAAGGAGGTGAAGCTCTACGGGAGCTACGAGGAGCTTCTGGAAGATCCTTCGGTCGACGCAGTGTACCTCCCTCTGCCAACCAGCCTCCACGTCCGGTGGGTAACGGCGGCGGCGGAGAAGGGGAAGCACGTGCTGTTAGAGAAGCCGACAGCTCTCGACGCCAAGATGCTCGACGAAATGCTCCACGCCTGTGAGGCCAATCGAGTGCAGTTCATGGACGCCAGCATGTGGTACCATCATCCGAGAACCCTAAGGATGAAGGGATTCGTGTCGAATCGGGAAAAATTCGGAGAAATTAAATCCGTGAGTGCTTGAAATTTGAAATTCTCTTTGTCGCCTCGATCCACAGTCCAATTCCTGTGAATTTGATGTTTTTTAATTTTAGATCCACAGTTCTTCGTCGTTCCACGGATCCCCAAATTTTCTGAAAAACGACATTAGGGTTAAGGCGGAGCTGGACGGATTGGGGGCGCTGGGGGACACGGGGTGGTACTGCATCGGGGCGATACTGTGGGCGATGGACCAGAAGCTTCCGACGACGGTGAGGGCGCTGCCGGCGGCGATTAAAAACGACGCCGGAGTGATCCTATCCTGCCGGGGGTCGATGAATTGGGGGGAGGAGGGGACTGTGGCGACGTTCCACTGCTCGTTCGTGGCCCACGCGACGCAGGATTTGGTGGTTTGTGGATCGAAGGCGACGATTCATGTGGAGGATTTTATAATTCCGTTCGATGATCGGCGTGGGGTGTTTAGATCGACGATTGGGGCGGAGTTTTTGGAGCTGCATGTTGGGTGGAGCGTGAAGGGTGAGGAGGTTGTAGTGGGGAATGAGATGGTGCAGGAGGGTTTGATGGTTGAGGAATTGTCGAGGTTGGTGAAGGGGGTTAGGGATGGTGGGGTGGAGCCGGACTTGAAATGGGGGCGAACCGCCATGGCCACGCAGCTCGTGCTTGATGCTGTCAGGGTTTCTATTGATGGTGGGTACCAACCTGTTCACATGTATAATTAATTATTTTATTAATGGATTCTAGCATAAAATGCATTGAATACTTGTATTGTATAGATATTACTGGCGCATAATTCACCTATATATATATATATATATATATATGGTCTAATTAGTTACTAAATGATGCAAAAAATAATTATAAATTAATATTAAGATAAAATTACATTAATTAGTTACATTACTGTTGTCAAAATTATAGATTATGATTGGGCTAATTAGTTACATAAAGTTGTGACAAATTAACTCGGACGTAGTGAATATATTTGATGTTAATGTATTAATAAAAATAATTATGATTTAATAAAAATAATTATAAAGTAATATTAAAATGATTATAATAATTAATTTAAAATAAAAATATTATAAATTATGAATTTTAAAATATGATTAAAACGACACAAACAAAAATAGAAGAAACAAAAAAAAAAAAAAAAAACAAACAAACAAAAAAACAAAGATTATGTATGTAGATGCCCACCATATATATCTCTATGACCATACCCAATATGACTTGGAAAAAACAAAGGAAAAAGGAAAAAAAAGAAAAAAGACAATAAGGCTTGTAAAGTATGATCCCATAGTTTGGGATAAATTCGTAATCGCGATATAGGCTTAGTTTGGAGGACAGGCCAAATCATTTAAAATAATATGAGTAATAATTCAAACTTAATAATAAATTATATATTTTCTCAGTCCCAAACCTATGGTCTTATTTGAGTTGGCCACGATATTTAAGAAATATCGATATTATATGGATAGTTGGTAAAAAGTACGAATAAAATATTTTTTTACCCTTGTGAATGTATTAGTATAAAAAGTAGTGACATTTGTGCAATAATAATGAAAAAGTAAGGATAATTTTATGGTGATATGAATATTTATGGAAATGAGACTATTGTTTTGAAATAGACAAAAATGATAAACAAAACTATTGTATTGGGACGGAGGGAGTATAAGTTTAGTTTAGAGGATAGGCCATTGCATATATAGCGTACTTTTGTGTTGAAATAATTTGTAGGAGTATGAATATGATAGTACTCCTTCCATTCCACGACATATGACTATTTTTTTTTTTTTTTTTTGTTGATGCGAAAGAAAGAAAGAAAAATCTCATATCATGCAATGTTAGCAATATCAAGCCGTGATTGGCCATAAATGTTACCATCAAAACAGCGATGGTTAATCTTGAATCACAAAGATACCGAATACAAATTCAAAAGTATATAAATTCCAATAATAAGCAAAATATATAATGAGATCGATGTATATTATTGCTTCAACAAACACCATTGGTTTTCTTTTTATCAGCAACCATTTTCCTCCAGGCTGCAGTGATTTCTCTCTGCACTTCAATGGCAGTCTTCTTCACAATCGCATGGTGATTCTCCTCCACTGCCGCCGACCCGGCCGTGAGTTTCTCAGTGACCCTAGCTGGGAGCGAGTCGAGCTCGTGCAATACTTTCTCGATGTCAATCACGAGCCTCTCAGCAAGAGTTCTTGAGAAATCCTCGCGGATAACCACACGCAACACCGTCACATGTTGTGCATCCGGTGGCATGGTGTATGCGGGGACAATCCACCCGAAGCGCCTAAGCATGTCCGAGATTTCAAACTCGTTGTGTTGACTGTTATCCTTTAGACTAAATGCCACTAGAGGAACGCCGTTATCCTTGGACACGATGTTGAAACGTCCGGTTTTCTCCAACCCCTGTTTTAGTACCATTGCGTTTTCTTGGCAGTTCTCCATTATACTTCGATAGCCCTATGCAATAGAATTCAATAGATTCATAAATTATGAGTAATGAAAATTGTATACCGATAGCCCTATTTAAACTTGAGTATGTTAGCCAAGTCTTTGTAGATCAAGTGGCGAGGCTTTATTTGTCTGGGAGTTAAGTCCCGAATTCATGAAAAATTTTAGAAATAGTAAAAAATTTAAAAATTAAAATTTGATTTGATGTTTTTTAAATAAATATAATAGATGAATAGTGTTGAAAAAGTTGAAAAGTGTCTATGTAAACAATGTTTTAATGTTTTTAAGACTATCCATTAATCAATATAGCGAAATGTTACCTCGTGGCCCAAACGGATGAGTTGGTAGTATTGAGCGATAACTTGACTCGAACCTGAATGAACAAAATGAATGGTTCGGTTAACAATTTGTGACAATATGGGGGGATCCTACATTCGAACAATGTGAAGAATCGATCATTTAGCTATGTCCGAGTGTACCTTTAGAGAAGTTGAGAGTGAAAGTTGGTTGATCTGCTCCTAGATAGTTAATGTGAAAGACGAGCTCATCGGGTAAATCTTCTTTGTTCCTCCAAATGACCCACCCGATGCCCGCGTATACTAGCCCATACTTGTGCCCGCTTACGTTTATACTCTTCACACACGGTAGCCTGAAATCCCACTCTAGCTCCGGGTACAAAAATGGCGCGATAAACCCTCCACTTGCTGCATCTACATGAATCGGTGTATCCCACCTGAATTCGCAAATATATCCATTTTAATCATATGTTTACTATAATAAATAACAAATAAAAGCATATTTATGTTACTTTAGATTATTCTACATCTATTTTTTTTAATATATTTCTTTTTTATCTTTTTGTCGATATTTTAGTAATACACATAAAAATTAATCAATGCAGATAGTAATTACTCGTAATATATTTTTACCCTGTTTCCTTGTTCTTTGTCAGCAAGAGATCATTCAAGCGCTTGACGTCTTCGAATTCTCCATTGAGAGTCGACCCCAAGATGGCGGCGACGCAAATAGTGTTCTCGTCGACCATCTCCACAGCCTTCTCGGGGTCCATCACGTAGTAGCCGTCTCTTAGTTTTACTTCCTTGAGCTCGACTTCAAAGTAGCGTGCGAATTTTTCCCAACATACTTGGACATTAGCGCCGGTGACTATGTTAGGTTTGTCATAAGGTTTCCCTTGTTCCTTCATTTTGTTTTGCCATTTTCGTTTGAACGCCAGTCCGGCAAGCATTATTGCCTCCGACGAGCCCACCGTTCCAACTCCGACCGCCGCCTCGCCGTCTCCTAGCGGCGCATTGAACAAATGTGCGATCATGTTCACACAACGGTTCTGCATAGAAATACGAATTAAGAGATGTAAATTTTGTTACATAATCAAATAAATTCGATGTTATATATTTCACTATATTTATTACAAAAAATACCTTTTATTTAAATTTTTTATTTAAATTTTAGTTTAAATAATATTTTATTTGATATTTTGTAAAATAAAATGATACTACTCCATCCGTCCCGGAATAAGGGTGGCGTCTTTTTGCATGTAGATTTTTTAATATTAATATTATAATGGATTGTAATTAAAATGACAAAAATACCCCTATTAGTATTGTGTAATATAAAAGTGATGACATTTGTGTAATATAGTGTAAGCTGGAAGGGTATTTATTATGTTAGGTAGGCAGTACAATTACTAAATTAGAAAATGATAACCTTAATTTGGGACGAACGAAAATGGAAAATGACAACATTTCAATAGAACGGAGGGAGTATTATTTTTATAGGGAGTATTATTTTTATGATATGTGTTGACTTACTAAATAGTAGAAAAGTTGACTTAATTTTTAAAACAAAGAAACCAGAATTCACACAACATCCATTTTATTCACTATTTTAAAATACACATTACAATTGCAAAATAGAAGTAATTTACCAAAGCTAATAATAGTACAGTTTTGTATCGTTCTTGAAAATAATGTGTGTGCTTTCAATATTTTGTAACTTTTATATTTTTTAGATAAAATTATAATTAGATGTAATACGAGTATTTTATATAAAAATTACATATATTTTTATTAAAAAACTTCAAGAAGAGTGCGGTAAAAAAAAAAAAAAATAATAATAATAATAATAAAAGAAAAAGTATACCTAATCATGTCAAATTATTTATTTAAATTAGGTTTAGACAGCTTGTATCATCATTATCCCAATAAATTGGCACATGGGTGTGACTATCATTTTTTTTCAAAAAATATATATTATTACATATATTTTATTTAAAATATTATATTATTATGTACTAAATACTTTTTTTATAAAAATATTATATATTATAATTATTATATTAAAAAATTATTAAATTCAAAATACAAAAATAAAACCAAAACACATATGAACAAACAAGTGCTTAATAAATAACTCGAAAAAGTCCAAACCACTACGTGAATAATACGCTAGAGCAAAATATTATTATATACACACCAATATTTTAAGACATCCGATTAGAATAGAAACGGACCACAAAAATTATAGTAATAATAATAATAATAATAATAATAATAACCTGGTTTTCATCATTTAATGCAAATTCCGCGTCTGACTTTACTGATTATTAACTTTTTTATAACTACTTACTGTAATATTTAACACCAATTATTAATATACATAATTCTCAAAAAGTATTATAAAAATATATAATATTTCAATAAAAAAAATCAATAAAATCACACAAAATATTTCTATAATTTTTTATATTTCACAAAGCATCTAAAATTATAATTCCTAAACAAATATACAAATAAGTCCTCAGTTTCAGATAATTTAGTTGGAGCACAGATGTTTCAGATATTATATAACTAGTAAGTATTAAAAAAATATATTAGTAAAAATAATTATAATTCAATATAAATAATTATAAATTAAAATTAATATAATTAAATAGCTTAATCTAAATAAAATTAATTATATATATAGGTAAAGTGAAAGAATTAAAATGAAAATTACTTGTAACTCGGTTGTGACGGGGTACTCGTCCATATCGACGTAGTTTTTGTTGATGGCGGCCATGATGAGCTTATCGCACTCGGGCTCCATCCACGTTGTCACAAACGAGGCCAAGTTCAGCCTCGGGTTCCCGTCCAACATCAGCTCGTCGTTTATGATCTGATACGCCGCCTCCTTTGGGATCGAGCTCTCCGGCATCTTGAACCTGCACTCATTTTAATTTAATATATCCAATTAACATTCAAAATTTCGAGATCCGATCCGAATACACATATAGATACGGTGGATACCTGGGCAGGGAGTCTCGGACATATCGGGAAGCAAAAGTCGAGTGGACCGACACGTCGGATTGGGAGGCTGTCTTCGATAAAACCATTGTTGCCTTTCCTAACTGATCTGTAAGAGAAGAAATTGAAAGAGAAGAGAATGAATTATTGTATTATGAATGAATGTAATGTCTACATATATATATATATGTATATGTACATGTATATGTATAGCGTGAATGGTCTTTGGTCCATTATTTGGTTTGCCAACGCGGAAACTGTATTATTATTATTATTATTATCATTATTATTATTATTATTATTATTATTATTCAATTTGAAGTTTCAACGGCGAAAAGCAATTCCAAAATATAAACTATTATGACTTTCTTTGGACAATATAATAGCGCAAGTGTTTATTAAAATAGTACTTCATCCGTTCCAAATAAGATGCAACATTTGTTTTTTACACAAATTTTTAGGTGAAAAATATTAAGTAAAATAATTTAGAAAATATGTGATATAATAGAGAGAGAAATATATATTTTATTTTTTTATTTGGATAATGTGAGGGGATAAAATGTGAGGCAGAGATTAAGTATAATTAATTATTTCATATTTTGAAAATATTGCAGAATGTTTGAGACATACCAAAAAGAAAATGCTACGGGATGTTTGGGACGGAGGGAGTAGTAAATTTTGATTTAATGGTTCTGGTTGTATTAGAGTTTCATTTCAATCATTTGTTTTTCTAATAGGTTAAAAAATACTGCCACCGTCTCATATACTGTATCTGCTACACTGTATACACGGTATTTTAGGAGGGGTGTAATTAGTAGAAAATTAAGAATTTATCGGTGAAAATAATTATTTTATAATATAAATAATTATAAATTAAGATTAAGATAACTAATTAGTTTAATTAAAATTTAAAAAAAAATAAATTAAAAAGTTTAAAATAAAATTAAAGTGTGTAACCATTTTCTAAAAAAACAAAGTGACATAGAATATGAAACGGCCGCATCGTGGGCATGGTATGTGGGACGGAGGGAGTAATATTTTTCCATTTTGGATAATATGTCTGCATTGTTTTACATATAGTAAATTAGATAAAATATAATTATTAATTAACTAAGAAGTGCATTTGGTAAAATTAATTATAATATAATAAATTTAATTATAAATTAATATTGAAATAATTAAATAATTTAATTATAATTATAAAATTTAAAAATATTATTAAATTGTATAATTATATTTAAAAAAGAAACTAACATGTAACCGAGGAAATAAAAAACGTGGATATTTTATGTGGGTGGAGGGAAGTGTGTAAGATGATTTTGTCATTTTTATCTTTACAAGTACAAAAGAAATAAATACTTTTGTAAAAATAAAAAGTATTTTGATATTAATATATAAATTATTTTTAATATAATACAAAATAGATAATTTTGAGTGAGACAAATAAAAATAATAAAAATAATATATATATATATATAATATTGAATTGCAACTAACAGATTATGTAATTATCAATTTCTTTTTTTTTTTAATTAAAGTAGTATTATATACTCCTCGCGTTTTACAACAGTCGACACTTATTTATTTATTTTTTATCTTATAATAATTGACATCATTTTATTTTAGGTCAAATTTGTTAAATTAAAATGTGCCACATTTATTTTTATCTCTTTCCTAAAAAAAATAAATATTTTTATCTACATTTAAAATTATATATCTCTTATAAAATTAATTTATGTTAATTATAAATAAATAAATATATTTTTCATTTACTTATATTATAAAAAAATTATTTTTTTATAAAATAATATCCATTGTATGTATATTTTTTATTGTAATATAATTTTAAAATATTTAAATATATATTTTAATTTCTTTATCATATATATTAAATTTACTTACCATTATCAATATTATTAATTATATAAATAAAATTAATATCATAATTTATTATTATTAACTAATTAAATATTATTATCTTAAATAATATATTATTAATAATAAAAAAAACTAATTATCTTGAAATTAAAAAATATATTTTTATAAAAAATTCTATTCACCCTACTATTCAAACAAAATAATAATAATAAAACCAACTTTCAATACATGTTCTGTTTTCTTCTTTGTGATTACTTTTTATTTAAGTTTTTATTTTTTTTTATTTTTTTAACTTTCTTTATCATTCAATATTGGGTTGAGACATGTGAACATATATTTTATGGAGATTATAAAAAAAAAAAATGGAAAAATAACCTAATTTTTTTATTAAAAATATAAAATGAGAATATTCTTGTTAAGACAGAGAAAAAAAAGAACACATTAATTTGAACATATAAGATATATTATTTTGTTTTTCTGAATTTTTTTTTTTTCAAAATTAACATATTTAATATCTATCTGTCATATAATAATATCAAATTAAATAATTATTTTTTTATAATTTTTTTAATATAAATACAAAACAAAGTACGAAAAAACATACAATATACCACACACTTTTATATATATATATATATACATGTAAGTATATATTACATTCAAATTAAAAGCACACCACTCAATTTGGATTTGAATGGTCCAATTTCAAAACTATCTTCCATTTCTAAAGCACATTTGTCTGAGCTTTTCAACCCAAAAATTGTCCACTTCTAATTTAAATTTTCTTTATAGGGATGTCAAATAGGACGGTTATTCGGACCCGCACCAAATTTACTTTTAATAGGATGAATTCGGGTCTAGAAAATATTTTTAGAGTATATTCTGGATTTTAAATTTTAAATTCGATTAAGTTCGGAACGGGTTACGAATTTCATTAAAAACCAGTTCCATCCTTGACCGGATCCGAACTCGAATGTGTTAATAATTATTAGAATTAATATATATTATAAATATAAATTATATTATTCATTTATTAAAAAAATTTAAATATAAAATAAAACTCTAATTTTTAATCAAAATTATTTTCGCATATATTTTTTTTCAATTCTCTTTACAATCGGAATTACTGTTGTCCCTTCGATGGCCGCCGGCCGCCATTTTTTTTCTTTTCACGGTTGTGTGTTTACATAATTTTTAAAATAAAATAATAAATAATTAATAATATGATGCATTTATTTGTTTTTTTAAAATAATACTCCTATAAAGTTAAAATAAAGAATATAAATGTTAATAATAAGATCCAAATGTATTGAGCAATAGAACGTGATGAGCGGATAGACCAAAGTCAAACCAATCAATATTTGTTTATGTTTCTGATCTCACATTATCCATTTTTACTTCAAAATTAGCAATTCAAACACCTTTCTATTTCATATATTGTCAAGAAAGTAATAATAATAATAAATTTATATTCAAAATATCAAATAAAAAAAATTATTTAAATATATATAATATTATTTCATTTCAATTTCTTATTAGTTTAAAATCAGAACTTAGATCTAAATTTTAAAGAAAAAATGGTGTATGTATATTTATTTCCATAATCATTCCTTCTCGAATCTACAAATTTTTTTTATGATAAACTGTTTTTTTTTTTTTAATCCTATAACTGGACCCCTTATCATTTTAGTCATATAAGTGGATCGCAAATTAGTTTAATAAGTGAAAAATTTTCGTTCTTTTAGTCATTCGGTGCCAGAGACGCCTGCATGGCTCGCCGGAGGCCACATGTCCACCAGGTCAGTGACACCTGGCGGATCTGACCTGACAGACATGTGGATTTTATTTTTTATTTTTATTTTTAATTTTATTTATTTGGCGGACACGTGGCTTCCGGTGAGCCACGCAGGCGTCTCTGGTGCCGGAGGACTAAAATAACGAAAAATTTTTACTTATAAAACTAGTTTGCGAGAGACTCCATTTACGAGACTAAAATGATAAGGATGTCCAGTTACGAGATTAAAAAAATAGTTTACCCATTTTTTATTTACACAAATAATTGTCTGAAAACGCGTATACATAAAATAATTTTCTATGTGAAAAGAGAAGAAGATTCTCACTTTCGTACTAACTAATGATTTGGACTTATTCAAAATTCTCTTTTTATTTCTTCAAATTTTATATATAGGCTACACTTGAGGGTGCGCATCTTTGAATATATATATATATATATATCTACGAATTTTAAATTTTAAATTTTGAAAATTTAAATTATAGTATTTTATATAATTTAAATTAAAATAATTATCCTCCTATAATGCATCATTGCTTCTAATATTTTGAACCCAATAAGGAATAAGCCCATGGTTCAAAATTGGAGTTCCTAATTTTACTGGAACTGACTTTAGAAAGAGAGGGAAATTGAGAGACACAATGGACCTGATTATGTATAAAATTGATAGGAATATAACACCATAATAAATGGATCGAATATAATATATTAATATTAATTAATATACTTATTATATATGTAAAATAATTTAAATATATATATTTTAAAAATTATTAATTTACATTTAATCCAATCCAAAAATAATATTTTCAACAATATTTACTATTTGCTGTGCATGTATATAGATTTTTTATTTTTTATTTTTTATTTTCTTTATTGATTATGGACTAAATGGATTACAAATCAGTCGTATTTGTAATGCTCGGCATGATAAACATATATACTCCAATTCCGAGGGGAGTGTTCACAAAATACAAGTTTTGAAAAACTTGTTGGTGTTTCATTTCAATTCCTCAATACAACCATATAACCATCTGTGATCTTTAATACTTTTGCTGTAAGTAAATATATACTGATTATTTGTTTGCACTTAGCAGGTAGCATCAACACATACAACTCCAGAATTGTATGCCATTTACTTACTACATGAGCACAAAAATATACACACATGGAGAAAGTAGAGTTCCGAAAAGCTAAATTATTAATCAAATTCTGTCGGCACGAACGGAAAGGAGATAACAAGCAATACATGGCGCAACAGGGATGATTATATTTAGGCAATCCAAGAAAAAAGAAACTGGAAACACAAATTGGTTCTTAACTTTTTATTTCAAAACAGAATGTGATTGAAGTTAAGGATGGCACCTTACATGTGGCTCCAAGAACTGTAGCACCATGTCAATCTAGTAGCCGTAGCCCCAGTAATCATTTCGAATTTCATTATTGTTAAACTAAGGATACCGGCAGACAGAGTAACTTAAAATTACCTTCAACTCTTGGACCTCTGCAATTTCTTTCTCTAATATTTCAGACTCCTTTAATGATGCCTGCTCAGCTTCTTTCAACTCTACCTACTGTAACTCACGAATCGATCCAGTCAGTGGAACATCCTCCATGTGTTGTTAATTTGATAAATTAGCAAAAGCTGAAATGATAAGATATTAAACCATCATAATCAGTTCACGATTATCAACAACAATACATGCCATCACACTGAAACCATGCCAATAAAACAAATATCACACACTATATTGGTTTCTGGTGCAAAAAGATAATAAATATAGGAAAGCCCCATTGATAAAAGTTCTGCAAATGTAATTCTAAATGGCTACTTCAAAACATATTGTTTCGGAATATCAGTGTGCCTCACTATGCTGGATGCATGAATTATGTTTTATTTCTACCTTCAATCAAGGCAATCCAAGGGAGAAGTGTGCATAAATACAAAAAAATTCCTTCATTTTCCTCACCAGAGCATCAAACTTGGGTTTGTACTGAGGGGTCACATTGTCAACATACTGTGGAATTTGATCTCTGCAATAAATCAGGGTATAAAAAATCAAATAAGATAGCGATAAAACAGTAGATATAGAGATATTATATGCATAAAAAAGCTCAAAGTGCCACTTAAATAAGCGATAAAGTGAACAACTGCAAAGTGGTTAACAGTCTGGAATAGATAACCACTATCAACTAAATACCAAAAATCTTGAATAGATTAGTGGGCAGAGGCATTTTACCACTTGATGCATCTGTAATATACTTAGTTCCCAATAAATATAACTAATTTAGTATGAGATGACAACAGAGCAATCCCAAAAATGGGGAAATTGCTTATATCCAGTTCAATGGCTTGACCAATAATATAGACTAATGTTATAAGTATTAAAGAATATCACTGACAACCAATTTTGCTGCATACTGTTTCTAAGATTTGGAGAAGGATAAAATTTAATTACAAAAACTTTGACAGAGTATATATGAACTTAGATACTTTCTATAACTAATGAAAAAGTAAGAAACACAATACATTTGAAACAAAACTAGGGAAACATATGAAGAAAGAGTACAAGGAACAGAGAGTGCATACCATCATAAGCCTGCTTACATATCAATCAAGCGAGATCCTGCTGGACTGACCAGCTCGACACTAGTATAATACTATTCGCTTTGGGTTGAGCCCGCACGAATTTGTTTTTGGATTTTCTCCAAAAGACCTCATACTAGTGGAGTTCATTTGGGATGTATAAGGTGTGAGCCTCGTACTAGTGAAGTTCACTTGGACTTATAAAGTGTAGAATTTTCTTTCACGTCTTCTAATGTGGGACTTGGGTCTGCACCCAACAATTCTCTCCTCAAACCAAGGACCAACCAATGGCCTTTCCTGCCCACTTTGTACTGCCTATCATAAAGGAACCCGCTATCTGATCAACCACAACTGTCGGAACCGACCCAACGACCCAACGCTGCCATGAGACTTTCGACACAAGGCACATCCACAAGTCACAAGGGCGAGCCCACTACCACAACCAATTCCCAATGTCATCCAGTTCATTCAATACTAGTATGATATTGTCCGCTTTGGACTTAGCCCGATATATTTTTGGATATAATGGAAAATGCCTGGTACTAGGGGAGTTCATGTGGGAACTTGAGACTTATAAAGTGTAGAATTTTCTTCACGTCGTCCAATTTGAAACTTGTGTTTGCACACCAAAAGATCCAATTCCTTTTCAGTAATATTCCCAATCTATGGACTCTGGTTCCTTCATATTATTCAAAATGAATAACAAAAAGTTCAATAAATATAATAATCATATAATGAAATAGTGACAAAGTTAGATATTTCACAAATTATTGCAAAGAGTAGGGACAATCTCCTTATAGTTCCTCCCTCCCACGTATAACCACATATAATGTCATGTCACGATTTTTCTATTTTCATCCATTCAACATCTCATACATCTCATCATCTCTTACATACTTTAACCAATAAACAAATCAATAAAAATAAATTCTACAGGAATCCCCTACAAGGCTACAACCCATATCGGAGAGCTCACAGCACAAGTTAACGCGCGATCACTCAATCGCCACAAAATTTCAAAGAAAAATGAGGCAAGAAGTGAAATTAAACAACAGACCTGGCGGAGGGTGTTGAATTCCTTGGGAGCCTCGTCGGAGACCAGAAGCTTCGCCATTCCTTCCCAATCAATGTTCTTCCCCTCCTTGAATGTAACATCCACAACTTCTTCCTGGCTCCGATCGATTCGGTCGATCTGCGAAATCAAAGTGTAAGAGCGGTAGGCAAATTCGTAGAGCATATACATTATATATCGTGTCTGGATTGAAATGCGACTCTAATTTTATATTTGGCCCATTCGTCGTTCTCGTATGAAAAAGCGTGTTTGAGTTTTTGCGCTTCTTTATATTTTGTTATTTAGTCCCAACCAAAGCCCTGGGCTGCCCTGGGCTGGGCCATCCGGCCCACACCCACCACGGCCCTAAAATTTTGGGTCTTATTAGGAGCTCATTTTTATAATATATATAAAACAAAATTTATAAATATATGTATAATATTAAATTTATATATTAAAAGTTATTTGTTTGTATTTAAATTTAAATTTTTATTTAAATATATTTTAATATGATATTTTATGAAAAAAATAAAATATATTTTTATTTAAGAGTTACGATAAAATTTTAAATTCTAAAATATTATTTAAAAAAATATCTATTGGCAACATCTTCGAATGGCCCAAGGCCAAAGACAAAAAGAATGGGCCCTCATTTACTAATTTCTTTTTTAAAAAAAAATTAATTAAAAAGAATTTCTAAAATATATATATTTTTTTACTTAAAATATTTAATTATTAATTTTAAGATATATATACATATTTATTTTATTATTATATAATATTAATTTTATAAATATTAGTTTTTTATTATTCTAAAAAATGTTCAAAAGTCTAATATCACTGTCTAAACGGTGCTCTGACATTAAGGTGTGTTTGTTTGGGGGTTTGAATTTTGAGTTGGGATTTATATAGTAAAAATTTTAAATTTGAATAATTGTATGATGTGATATAAACAGGTGTTGACGTGATATTTTGAATGTAAAATTGATTTTTAGTATAATATAAAAAATAAAAAATAGGTATTTGATTTGATGTATTTGGGAGAAAAATTGGATGAATAGTGTAAATCCAATCCAATCCCCAAAACAAGTGCGTGTTTGTTTGGGGGTTTGGATTTTGAGTTGTTTGAATAGTAAAAATTTTGAATTTAAATAGTTGTATGATGTGATATAAATAAGCGTTGATGTGATGTTTTGAATGTAAAATTGATTTTTAATATAATATAAAAAATAAAAAATAGGTGTTTGATTTAATATTTTTGAGAAAATTTTTTTGAATGAATAATAAAATTTTGTTTAAATCCTACAAACGAACACACCGTAAATGTAATGATATACATATTAAATATTTTGAATAAAAAAATAGGTTTTATTGTCATATATTAAATAAAAATATAATAATAATAATCTATAGTAGTATAAGATTGGGGAGGGAGTCATCCAAAAAGAATTTTAGTTGGACCTGAATGTTTATTTTATTTTAATTGTTTTCTTCTTCTTCTCTTTTCTCTCTTTTTTATTTTATTTTATTTTATTATTATTATAACGATATTATATATTTTTTAATTGTTTTCTTAATTGAATGTCATGGTTGAGTCCAAAATGAAAACAAATTCTATCGGAAGTTTGATCTTATTTGTTAGTTGAAATAATGATTTGAATGTGATGTTCCTTGAAAAATAATAGGTATGTTTTTTCAATCAAATTTCTTTAAATTTTTCGAAAAAAATATTTTTTTTCTCTTACAAAATATCTCATCAAACATTATTTTTATACCAAATTCAAATTAATTTTTTTTTTCAAATTCAACCTAAAGAAACACACCCTATAATAATATATTTTTATAAAAATTACAATAATTGCATAATAAAAATGCTAAAAGCACACTCTAAAAAGAATAGAATTTTCTATCCAATTTGAATTTAAAAACCCAAAACTCAATATGATATGAATATTTAAAATGAAGCATAGATATATGAATTTATTGAAATTTTATTAAAATGTATACTAATAATTTGGGATTTATATGAGTTTTTATGTCATTTTTACATCATATTTGGAAAACTTGAATATAAGGGTTTGTTTAGTTTTGGTTCATGAGTTTCATTTTTAATTTGAGTTTTAATTTTAAGAGTATTTTTATTTGATATTTTGTGATAAAAAAATATAATATATTTTTATTAAAGATTTTGCTAAATTGTAGTATTTTTATTTAAAAAATAAAAAGTAAGAATTTCTTTCTGCGACATCGAAGCGGACAGCTAGGTCGGAAAAATATTACTCCCTCCGTCCCACATAATTTGTCCCTATTTTTTATTTTCGTCCGTCCCACATAACTTGTCATTTCTATTTTTGGAAATATAATTATACACTTTAATTGCATTTTAAATTTTATAATTTTCTTAATTTTAATTAAACTATTTACTTATCTTAATCTTAATTTATAATTATTTTTACTAATACACTTCTTAGTTACTTACTAATTATACTTTACCTAAATTCTCGTGTCTACAGTAATACACCCATATTACATGGGAAGGAGGGAGTAACAAATTTGAACTCGAACTCATTTGTGATATAGCAAATTTAAATTAAATTTGATAAACTCTTAAGTAGAATTATATTTGAAAATATGATTTTTCCGTACAACCCTAATTACAATAGTACATATACAATTCATTTTGCCTTTTTGTTAAAACGACATATTGAACAATTCAAATATATATAGATGTAATCTCACGATGTAGTCCACATAAATTAAAAAAATATATATATATTTTTGAAACTGATCCATTCTCATTTTAGTCTCGTAACTTAGTTCATATAAAAATTGTTTCGAAAGGAGATTCTTTTTGTTTTTGGCATAATTGATCTTTCGGCACCGGAGATGCGCATGTGACACCTGCTTAGCATGCCGTCGAAGCACATGTGTCCGCCAAATAGACGCTACTTCACAGATACGTGAATTTTTTTTTTAATCCTTAATTTACCTTCTTATCATTTTAGTCTCGTAAGTGATTTTTTTTTACGCCTATATGATGGACATGCGTACTCCAGCATGTCAAACGGGTGTCACGTGCGCATCTCCGGGCCGGAGGACCAATTGTGCCAAAAAAAAAATCATTTACAAGACAGACTTATATACATGATTAAGTTACGAGATTAAATTGATAAGAAAGTCGTTTACATGACTAAAAAATAGTTTTTTCTGAATTAGAAACAGGGTTCTAATAGCAATCACACACGCAATTAATAAAACAAATCAATTGTTGGGATATATGTGCGGTACCAAATCACTTTCGAACACTCATTCAATGGTCAACTCCCGAAGTATAGTTATATCACAGTTATAACAAGATGTTGTCAACGAAATAAATGCAATGATAAAAAAAAAATAAATGACAAGATATTTGGTTATCTGTTTCGGTTATAACTAACCTACATCCGGAGATTCTAATCCATGATTAGTTCATTAGGCAGTGCTGATCCAGAACAAAAACAACTAAAACTCCTTCAACCCATACTACAATACTGATTATCTAGGAAAAACTCCTATACAGGCATACGTCGTTACAAGCTCGTACTGACAACTACCAAATAGTAAGATTGCTCAGAATCTTGATGCTTCCATTGATCGGAACTCCGATTTTTTCTTTTTCCGACGAACTCTCCGGCGAGATAAATGTGACATGCACTCACTTAACACATAGAGAAGGAAAATGTTGAAGTTGAGGTGATTGATACACTTTTTCTCTCGCTACACACACTCTTAAAACCTTCACACTACACCCTTCCAAAATCTCAAGCTATGTAAGGCAGCCAACAGCTTGACATGTGCAGACATGCAATTAATTCCCTTGGTACATAAAAGAAATGGTGTGTTCCTTTATACTTCTGATCGAAAGAGGACAAACCCAAATAATCTATTTTGTCTTGAGAATACATCATCATAGGCAAGATAAATTAAACACAGTCCAAGGTTAAGGCTGATGAGTCAATGGATGTTGTTTATAGGTTGTGACGACAACAACAACACATAATTGTTTTGTCCATATGCCAAAATATGTAATGGGGTATTTTCCATAACATCAATCAATCAATCGATATTTTAAATTGAATACATAAAAAAAGGCATGGTTATGTGCTAGATTCAGAGAAATCAGCACCATATAATAGTCACATATGCAAAAATATAGGTATAATTATTAGGAAAAGATATTACTTCATCCGTCCCAACTAATTTGTCCACATGGAATACGGAGTTTTAGATATTGTGTAATTAGTAAGTAATTAAGAAATATATTAGAAAAAATAATTATATTTTAATAAAAATAATTATAAATTAAGATTAAAATGACTAAATAATTTAATTAAAATAAAAAAATATAAATTATGGATTTTAAAGTGCGGTTAAAGTATATAATTATATTTCCAAAAGTGGAAAAGACATAATAAAAAAAGTGGATAAATTAGGTGGAACGAAAGAAAGAAAAATAAATTAAATGATTTAATTTACTAATATTTTTCATAATTCTTATATTCATAATATTAAATTATATAATAACTTTTTATATAAGATATTTTTGTATATTGAAATTAAAATATTAGCTATAAAATTATATTTTCCTAAATTAATATCTGAGTTATTTGAAGACGTATGCAACTTTGCTACGTGAATTAGTTTTTTCTTTCTTCGCATGCAAGGCACTGCAGAAAGCGACTAAATTCTTTTTGAAGTCCCGGGATCTGAGGACCAGACAGGTAATCAACTGTACATCTTGGGTAGGGTGCTCGTGCCCCCTGGATCTTGTAAGAAATGGCATTATACTCGTGCCACATGACATACTGCAGTAGACAGTTCAATACCAACAAACATGCATGTTGGGTTCGATTTGCTTGGATGCGTTTGAATGATATTTTAGTTTGGTTTTCGATTCAATATTGGTTTAAATATGATATTACATAAAATAAAAATAAAAATAAAAATAAAAATGATAAACAACTAATTTATTTAAAAATTTACATTTTTTAAGTGAAATATTTGTCAGTAGATTATGGAATTGAAATTCTTTATTTTATTCATAAGAATGTATATATCTATATATTTAAATATATTTCAACATATTCAAACTCAAAATTGTGTTGTAAAAATTAATTTGAGTTTGTCTGAATGAACTATGAGTCAGAA